AAGAGCACTTGATACTCCTGCACTGGCTGACCACTGAACGTGAATCAACCATTTCGAAATTCATGCACCGACTGGCCAAGAATTTCTTAGACTCTGCATCCTCGGACTCGTACTTCTTTTCTAAGGATTCCCAAAACTCCTTAGCAAACTTTTTTACCACATACACATGATACAGAGAATTCTGTAGGCCATCCAAGACATAGTCGCGACACAAAAAATCAGCACTTTTCCATACATCCCAAACCGCATGCCTATGCATATCAGTGTCGTTTTCGACCACGACAGGGGCATCCTCTGTGAGGAAACGTGCAAGACCCAAAGTAGTAAGATAAAAAATCATCTTATTCTACTATGTCTTAAAATCAGTGCAGCAAACTTATTCGATCGAATTGCATGATTCACAGGAAATGGAGCCGAAAACGATGGCAAAGGTACCGAGGCCGCAACCCTAAGTACGGGCAAATGTATTTGTGCCAAATTGGATTGCCGAAACCGTAGGCAAAGTGGAATTCACTCCAACATGAGGAATTTCGCCTCCAATTATCCTATCAACTGGAGGAATGCTAGTCGAGGTCTCCACTGGGTTAACAGCGGTCCCAACAATGATGCTTCCATTGTTCACATCGTCATTTTCGTGTGATATAATTTAACTAGAGAACAAGCAATAAATAATTTAAAATAATTTGTAAAGTTGTATATACAAATTCAAATTCAAAATCTGAATAATCTGATCGAAAAAATTTCAAAATTGAAGAATAAATTTATTTTTGACAAATTATTAGCAACTTGGCAATAATTTAAAAAAAACAAATTATGAATAATTAACAATGATTAAAATCAATCACTAAAGAAAAAATAAACAATTATATCATAATGATGAGACAATCATGCTAATCATTGTGCAATAATTAAATAATCATATAACTAATAATTGTCAAATAATTCAAATAACCATTACCAATGATTGTAAAACCATGTAAAACCACTACATGCAAAACTAAAAAACGCAGGCAGTGTAGGAAACTTCCTGTAATTCAAAAAAAAAAAAATTTTCCTTCGAACTTACTGATTCAAACCTAATAAACTTACTATGCGTAATTAAATAGGTAGATTATGTAAACAACAAATAAAATGAAGGTGGGGAAAAAAACAGTAACCAAACTGGACAGTAAACAAACTGAAAAAAAAATCGATTCTCAAACTTTTCCAAAATGAGGAATTCGATTTAAGCTTGTTGGGAAAATATTGGAGAATCAAAGCATATTAATCAAACCGAAGGCCCGTGTTTACACGGTTTCCTTAAATCGAATTCGCGGTCTTATCGGAGTGCAAGATGTTTGATCAGTGTTCGATTTTCAGGATATAATAGGTTGTCGGTTCATGCTGCACTACATTAACCGTCTACGAACTAGTTGTGTCTATCTCTCAAAGAATTTTAGCAAGGGAAGAAAAGGAACGAAACCACAGACTGCTGAAAATGAGAAAAGAGGAAACTGATTTCTTTTTCCTTTGTTGTGTTTGTTGTATTCATTCCAACCGAGAGCTCTTCTATTTATACCCATGGAGGAGGAGCTAGCTCTTTAAGGCATTGAATGACAAGTTACAGCATTGAAGAGAAAATAGATGAAACTGAAGAGAACGGCTGAAATTTTTTTTCATAAAATCTGAAACTTAAGTGGAGATGAAACTGATTTTCATTCAATATTTCCAACAAAATCTGCGTACCTAGATTTGGAGGCTTTTTGGCAAATTGCATTTGGATGTCATGTGTATTTAGTTTTCTTTGATTCAGTGACAGAGACGTTCAGGAACTTCTGAACAATTGAATTTAGTGAGTAACGTTCAGTGATCACTTGAAACCATTTTAAAATTCAGTGAAGTACAAGTTCAGTGACTCATGAAACATGCCGAGTGAGCGACGGAGTGCAACATGTTAAAGTTCAGTGACTACTCGAAATCATTTTAAAGTTCAGTGAGTAAAGTATGAGGGTATAATTTCAGTGACTAATGAAATATTTAATTCTAATTATCTCTTTATCAAATAATTATGGGCTCGGCTAGCCATGAGCCGAAGTATACAAACAGGTCTCAGTTGTAAATGGGTCGAGACCTAATCCAAGCCACTTCTCTCACCATTGTTAGTGATGGGATGCTTTTATAGGGGACGAAATTTAAGCTTAGAGCATTTAGATAATTTGATATTATAATGAACTTTCTCGTCCAAATATAATATTAGTTGTTTTTAGAATTGAGAACCCATGAAATTCCTTGAAGAGTCTCCTTATGTTTAGGACTTTTAGATGAAAATAAAACAAATTATGCCCCCCCTTCAATTCGTCTGAAAACTCTTATTAAAATTTAAGTCAAAGTCAACAATTAATTTTAATCATCAATTTCATAAGATTTACAACTTTTCAACCACACATTTTATCAAAAAAAAAAAAAAAAATCATTTTTTAAAATCAAAATTTACTAAAAAATTGAATTTTAACTAAACCAAATTTAAACTATATATGTTATCTTATCGACTTATAATAGATGTGGTACTATGTAGTTGTCCTAAAGCCTAAACCATCTCTTATTTCTCATAGTATTTCAAGAATAGAAAAATAAATCAAATTATCCGTGTATGTTATGTTGACTTACAATAGACATGATAGTATATTGTTGTCCTAATGTCGAGTTATGGCATGCCTAAACCATCTCTTATTTCTCGTAGTATTTCAAGAATAGAAAAATAAATCTAAGGGTAGATATATTGCCACCATATTTTTGCTCGTTACACCACATTATAGATACACTCCGATTAAAACATATTTTTGATACACCCTACAAGTATTTTACGAATATAACCCTAGCCAAGTTTAGAAAGAAAGATATAATACACCACATTCATGCCCCTTCTCATTTATCCTCTTCCACCATTTTTTTACTTTTCATCCACTACTTTAAGCGTCCTATGCATGCAAAACTACTGCAGCTATGTATATGCACAATCATGTTCATCAATTAACACCCCAATCAAGACCATATCATTTTTTTTTTTGTAAGCTATGTATATGCACAATCATGTTCATCAATTAACACCCCAATCAAGACCATATCTTTTTTTTTCTTTTTTACAAAAAAAAAAAGGACTTTTGGTTTGGGGGGTAGGGGGGTCGGGGTCGGGTAGTATAATCTTGAATTTTCTTGTATTTGCTTATGCTATACAAGTTAAGAAAGACACCCATATAACTTTTTCTAATTTCTTTGTTGGATTATTCAATGGAAAATAGCCATCAATGGTAAGAAAAAGGGAAGAAATTACAGACCCTGAAATTTACTTAGTTCTATACATTGATTTTTCTTTGATTTCACTCTTAACTACTGCTTTATATGTGTGTATGTGGTCCAACACCACAAGAAAATACTGAGAGTAGAATTAATTAAATAAGAAATGGATGGTTGTCGGATGTTCGGGAAAAAAAGGCAAAAAAAAAATTAGGTTTATGTTTGTGGTGGAGTAATAATTTATTTTATTAAAAAGTATATTAAAAACCTAATTATGTAATGTTACTTGAGGTTATTTAAGTAAATAAGAAAAATATTCGAAATTGTGGCACTCTTAATAAAATTAGTAGTGGTAATATAATTACCCTAAATCTAATTATTCGTATATGTTATCTTGTCGGCTTACAATAGACATGGTACTGTATTGTTATCCTAATGTCGAGTCGCGATGTATCTAAAACCATCTCTTATTTCTTCGTAGCATTTAAAGTATCACGGAAATTGAGATTTTATCTAGATGTAAACATTATATATATCAATTGTCATGTCAAATCACTTAAAATCCCCTACTCTTGCAAAAGTCCAAGGCTCATTAATGGAAAATAATCTGCAGCTGAAAGAAATGAATGTGTGCGCATTTCTGAATCACTGCCGTGTCTGATTTTTGAAAGAAAATTCACAGAAGAACATGAAATTCTTCCGGCATCTATGTTTTGGATATAACAAGTAAATATTTATTTTCAAAAGTAAACATGAAGTGCCCCATTTAGTGAATTTAGGCAAGATTGAAATAGATTCTGTTTGTGTTACTAAAAATTCAGATTCTTAATAGACTTTGATAAAAAAATTGATAAAATTTGTAGTTAAAAAATTGCGGAGCCTATAACCTAGGCCGGGCAACGACGACTAGCATGGGCACTAGCACAGGCACGAGCACGGAAAGAATGAAAAGAACGCATGAGAAATAACTATTTATACTATTTTGTCAACGTACCACGACTATCATCCTTTACATAAAGTAGAACTATCCATTAATTATTAAGTTGGCATTTGGTGTTGATTAAAATTAGATTTTTAGTAGATTGTAATAGAAGTTTTTGAAATGTGTGATTGAAAAGATGTGAGACTCATGAAAGATATGATTAATATTGATTGTTTGACTTTGACTTAAATTAAAATATAATTTTAATCGAAAACAAACAGACCCTAAGATTTTGATTAAAATCAAACAAAATAGGTGTCTATTATAAAAAGAGAGATAAAAAAACATCCACAAAATAGGTGTATGCATATAAAAACATAGATAAAATCGAAATAATGATTGACATAATATTACATGACAATCTATTATTGAATTGTTTAAAAGACAGACAGTTTTTTCATCCAATCATATCTTATCAATAAGTATTACGTCAACCATTATGTCACATACTTTAGCAAAATAGCATTATTCTAGATAAAAATACACTCAAGTAAATATAGTCTACAATCACATACACATTTGAATATGCTAATTGTTTCTTAAGCCAAAGCAACTTATTTATATAACTTTACTCGAAAAAGGTTAATTTAATTTAATTTTTATATACTCACTTATAAGTAAATTTTTTAACCCTAGACAAACAAGCACTACGAAAAGCCTTGGAGATTAATAATGATGGCAGAGGTGGTGAAAATAACCCTAATGCAGAAATCCATGCCATATATACAGCAGAAGAGGATGTTGATTATCTGTTGCCCTCAGGATTCGGACCGCTGGGAACGTTATGTGCTTCTGCCTGAAATTCTCGGTTTGTACTCCTTGCCGTTGCGGTACCACCAGCAGCAGCTACAGAAGTAGTGGTTGCTCCGCCGTGGAACTTGGTGGTGCATTGGTTTCTTGTATGAGAATCAAGGACGACTCTTCCATGTGATGCTAAAGGAACCTCTAATATCGCCAGAGATTTGATACGACGAGCAGAAAGGGGAACAATAAAGAGAAGGAAAATAAAGAGTGACATAGCTTGTGATTTTGTGAAGGTTTTGCAAGCTTTTTTGCTGGTTTCTGCCATGGAAATGTAACAAAGAAAATCCAGTACCCCCCAGTAGACCTACAGAAATCAATACCCATGAACCGAATGGGCCTTTTGTTGAAGAAGAAGAAGAGTACTGTTTAATTTCCAATAATGCGATGAATGGGAAGAAAGTTCTCCATCTCAAAACATAATATACAATGCTATAAGAGTTGCAGATCTTCCAAAGGAGATATATAAATAGTGTTGAGGGTAAAATTGACACTCAAAAAATATCATTGAATTTGACTCTCTAAACAAGATTTTGTTAATTAGGATGATCGAATTTCATATTCTATGATCTATCAGCTCAATACAACTTGTTACATCCACTAATTATAAATAAATTTCCTACAAACTCCTTCGTTACACTCAATTTTCCCATACAGCAAGCGTTCCAACATATTTTGTTATATCTATATCGACACGAATTCTAGAATCGAAACAAAAATTTATGATCTATCATCTTAGTACAACACGGTTTTATAGAACTTCCTACAAACTCCTACGTACGTAACACTCAATTTCTATATATAGAACATTATTGATATCTCTTGATATGAATTATGATCTATTAACTCAGTACAATACCCGAGCTC